CATCTTGTTCCATCTGCCCCAAAATAATGAGACCTCCCCGAAAATAAGGCCAAGTGCTTATTTCGGGGTTAAAAAATATAAGACAGGGTCTTATTTTGGGGGGGGGAGGAATGGTATTTCTCTTCTACTTTTATTTTTTGTTTCCTGAATAATTTTATCTGAACTTGGCAGTAGAGTAGAAAAGTTAAAAATGGTGGGATTTTATGCCATCTTCATTTGCTGTCAAGTATTGGGCTTATTCACTAATAATATTTTACATCTATCTGTATTCTTCAATAGAATTCTATTCTTGCTAAAAAGCCAGGAGCTGTAATATACAAAAGCTGCCGTGTTAACTCTTATAGTGTCTAAGATACTATAAAACTCTCTGTTGTCTTAATGCTCTTCAAGTGGCATTTTAAATTCAAGAAAAGTCTTTCACTTCTTACCTGTATGTCAGTTCTTTCTTTGCCCATTTAGGTGAACCAGGAAAAATGTTGTATTCTCCTACGTCAGCAATGCCACACCTGGGTTTTTTAATCGCATCCAAAGTGCTCACATCCAATTTGCCAGTCACTTTCAACCCCAAGAAATCCTGCATCTGCCGTATTTTTTCTGGAGCAATGCCATTCTTGGCTTTGCTTTTTATCACAGGTGTTGAATCTGATTCAGGATAATAATGCTGTATGTATTTCTGAAATAGAATTAAATTGATTAGATTTTTTTTCCTTGTGTGCCGTTTTCCTATTTCAGAATGACCTGAACCTTTGTTGTAAGCAATAACAATAATTATAAACTGCAAAATTCTCCAATCTGTTATCTTTAGATGACAAGAAGGACAATTCATAATGCCTAGATAGCATAACCATCAAGTAAGAAACATCAGTCTATCCAACATAGACATCAAGCTACAGAGAAGCTAGTCAGAATACAGATGTTCTAAGCTTATAATCATACACTGGTATAGAATATGAGATTTTCCAGATGTTGCTCAATTAAAATTCCCAACACTTCTCACCCTTAGTCATAGAGGTTTGAATTACTAAGAGGTATAACTGAGCAACAGCTGGAGGACCAGAGGTTCTCCAACCTTATTTATGAACTACTAACCACCGTTACCTCAGCAAGTTCTCTGTCCTTTTTTGAAATTCTCTCAGTTTCCTGACCTATGGGCAAAGCCCAAGCAAGCGTTCCAAATAGTGCGAGTGTCAGCAGCAAATTCATTTTCAGCTTCACGTCTGTGTTCCAAATGGGAAGTCACAAAACTTTTCAGCTGCTGGAAGTGGATCTGTGGATGTAACGTAAGCGTTCCTCTATATATACTTTACTCCTGCTCCATAAAATCAACAGTAACATGACTCAGAGAGTTAGAACTTGGCTGATTTGTCAAAGGCAGAAAATGATGCTTTAGAATGACACATTATATTGACTGCACAAACCTTATTGCGCAATTACAAACAAGGTAGCTGGGATTCATCAAGTGGGATTTTTTTTTTTTAAACCCCGGGGGCTGAGGCTGTGTCCTTCATTAAAAAGATGAGTAAGAATCATTCCTTCTAATTAAATAACTTTAAGCTATTTGTTTTTTTTATTCCATGGTGGACTTTTACCTTCTGATAGAACTTTTGCTGATGATTTTTGTTTATTTTGTTTACATTGATTTATAGAATTGTTTGTGGCAATACCTCAAAGAAACATTGGTGTGTAAACATTTTTTTTTAAAAAAAGAAATAATGCGGCATCTAAAAATAAGAATGCTGCTCAGCGATATCTTCACTTTTAGAAGTGAAGTGTTAGTCAGGGGTGTCAAACTCCTTTTCGTTGAGGGCATCTGAACGAATCAGTGTTGTGTTTGACCATGGGGGGGCTGGGGGGGCGTGGCTATGGAGGGTGTGGCCAGCTCAACATCACTCGTGTCGGGGGCACCTGTGGTGGCCCGAACGCTCACACAGCTTTCCCAAGCTCCATTTTCACTAGCAGAGGCACCACAGGCTGGTCCTTTGCTGTTTCTAGGGCGGCCCTGTGGGCCAGATCTAATCACCCCACAGGCCAAATCCGGCCTGTGGGCCTTGAGTTTGACCTCTCTGTGTTAGACCATTTTATTAGAAGCCCAGTAGAAACTGTTGGAATTTTCTGTTCTTAATTACCAATAAATCTGAAAGGCTAATAAATAAAGCTAATAAAAAGTCTATGATTCCTGAAGCTCATTAGTAGAAAAGTATGGTTACAGTAGAAGGAGATAATGGGTATGACCTGTGATTGATACATGCCAATCTATCTAAAATCGAAGGTTTATAAAACAATGATGTGCCCAGCAACGCTATATGCTGGCCAGACACCAAATCCATTGAGCGTACTTTACACACCATGGAAATATATGTGCTTCTTTGGTTTTTAAGACATTTCTCTCCTTGACCATGTCAGCAATGCCACAGTTCAGAAGTCAATGGGCACCATGCCAATATCATAGAAAATGAGGGAGAAACACCTACAGTGGTACGTATAGCCATGTTCTACAAGCAGCACCCCACATTGTTGCTTGCATTGCCTTCCACTTTAAAATAAAGTGGTCCATTTGAAAAGCCAAAGCAAAGATGGCAAGATACAATAAATGCGGACATGAAAAATGCCTAGTTGGGCTGTGTTTGATTGTGTTAGATGATGCTTGTTGACCCAAAAAGCAGACCCTGCACCTGCATGAAAAATGTGATGATGATGATGACGACGACGATGATTGATGGTTAGTGGAACTCAAGAGACCTGCCTGCTGTCCCTACTTATTCAAAAGTTAGGTTAGTGTCATTTCCCTGCTGCTGAGTAATTATAGTAAAGTCATAAACGGAACACAAATTTTGATCAGTGTTAGACTTCCTTTCTTCTTCAGCGATCCTCATAAAGATTGAAAACTCCTACATTAGGTATTTTTTCCCTTTTACTTCTCCAAAGCCACTTTCTCTATAACTTTTGAAGCAACTAGAGGGACAGCTCCTCTGCCTAAGGGCCTCTTCTTCAAAATACAAATCCGGCCCACAGGGTGCTTAGATCTGGCCCATGGGGCCACCCTGGAAACAGCAAAAGACCGGCCCATTGTGCTTCTCCCAGTGAAAACAGAACTCAAGAGGGCCATGCGCAGCCCCCTGAGCTCCGTTTTTGCTGGCACAGGATTGCAGGAGGCTGGGGCAGTCAAAAAGGGAGTTTGGGAGCCCATTTTTGCTGGCAGAGTGCTCAGGCCACCACAGGCGTCCCCAACATGAGTGATGTCAAGCTGGCCATGCCCACCCCAGCACCTTGAGGTCAAACACAACCCTGATGTGGCCCTCAATGAAATGGAGTTTGACACCCCTGGGTTAGCAGATGCTATCTCAAGCAGCAGAAATAACATGGCTCAGTAGCTTGAGCTGGGCTTGGAAACCTACTAGCAACCACTGCAGTTCCCACAATAACTATATTATTCTGAGACGCCTGTTAAACTTACCAGGTAGACCGAATAGGAAACACAACTAGATAAGCTAACTCTCCTTTATTGTAATGATACATCAACTGGGGGGGTGGGTACCCCACAATGGCTCAGTGGTTAAAGATGCTGAGCTTGTCAGCTGGAGAGCTGACAGCCAAGGTTTGACACCTGAGCTCTGTACAATGGGGTGAGTCCCTGTTCCTTGCTCCAGCTCCTGCCCACCTGGCAGTTCGAAAGTAGGCAAACACAAGTAGATAAATAGTACCACTTCAGTGGGAAAGTAACAGCGTTCTGTGCACTTTGACATATTGTCATGCTGGCGACATGACCACAGAAATTGTGTTTCTGGCTCCCTTGGCCAAGAAATGGAGATGAGCACCATGCCCTAGAGCATAGGTGTCAAACTCGCCGCGTCATGTTGCCATCACATGACGTTTTGCGACAGTTTTCCTCTTCATGGAGCTGGGGTAGGTATGGCCTGCATGTGATGCATCTGGCCCATGGAGTGCCAGTTTGACACCCCTGCCCTAGAGCCAGACACAATTGAAAAGGGAAATCATCACTTTTTTACATTAATAGAATCTTGCAAATCTGAAAATACAATTCCCCCAACCATCTCCTTAACAGCTCAAGAATTTAGGGAGGGTCTTATGCAGGTGTTGGTTATGCTGTCTCTTATCTGACTGCTCCCTAGGCAGCATCTCTTCCTCCCAAGGTCACTTCCGCATACCGTTACAAAAACAGAGTTATTGATCAGCAAGAGCATAGCTTTATGTTTTGCTAGAGGCACTTTCTGAATTATCTTTAATAGTAGCCCCATATAAAGCAGATTACAGTACTTTAAATGAACGATGGCAACAGCATGATTCACCAGCATCTTCAGTTCATGAAGGGTTATAACTGATTGACCTGTTGAAGCTAGTCAAAGGCTCTTGTAGACGTGGCTTCTCCCTTATCTTGATCCAACTGGAAACTATTGTGTGGGTGTCTCTGCGTATGTATACAAAATAAAATTTCAATCCGATTTATGCAGCAACAAATCAACACATTTAAAAAGTGATTCAGTGATGCCCCTCAGGCAATGTATCACAACCTTTCAGCTACTTCTACACAGACATACAGTCAGATACAAATGAATGAATAAAAAACATACAGAAACGTCCACACGTAAGTCTCACTGTTTATTTTGAGCATAACTGTGGCTTTATACCATATTTCACGCATAAAAGTGTGTAAACACAGGCTTGTCTGTTCAGGAACTGATTCACAAAATTCCCTTTCTGATGTCTCGGTGCTGAAATCTTTATGGGCTAAAAAGCTATCATTTCTCTTTAGGGCATACTTGTGTTTTGAAAGTGGACTAGACAAACCATTTAAACTTTATTAGACAATGCAGGGGCAGAAGGGAAGGCTTTGTGTCTTGTCCTATCAATAAATTAGTGATATTAGCCCATAGCAAGCAATGTAGGACCAATGTAGGAATTTTGTTGCTACATCTTAAGGTATAGCAACTTTGAAAACATATTCAGATTTGTTTAGAAACATACTAGAAACTTTCTGCTACTCCTTCTCATTTAAAGGAAGCATCTTAGCCCCACATCTGAACTTGGCAAGAAAAGTAGAATTAAGTAGATGGTAATGCTACGCTACTACTCAATCAAAACAAAGCAATACAATTGAGTCCAGTCACAGTGTTTATAGTGAATGAATGAGACATGCAATGGAAATTAACGAAAGGAAGGAGCGTTGGAAATTCCATGAGCCAGAAATAGGGTTCTCATTTAACAAGGATTTCTCCCGAAATTGGGAAACTCATTTGGCAAAAAAATAATAATAAGTAAATAAATGACAAATGACTTGTGGATCTTTTGGCCAAATACATTTCTGCTTGACTCTTGAATCTCTTCTCCTTTGAATTGTGGTCTTCCTGCTGTTGCAATTTATATTTTGATGATTATGCTGGGTTTTGTAGACTATCTGAAGAATACAATCAAGTCCATTAATTCAATAATCTTCCTGAATTGATTACCCTTTGGCAATAAATAACTAAAAAAAAAATTCCCACTTTTTTTACTCCATATTTTTACTCTTTGTTCATAATATACATATATTTTAGAACAGTGTTAACAATGTTAACACAGTACATTAATGACGTGTTGGAGTAATAGAATTAGGAAAGAAATAGCATTCTGTATTTGTAGACCTTATCTGTATACCACACTAAATTTGGGATCTGCTTTTTGTCATTTGCTTCTGCTATCATTTTGGGATTGCATTTTTCTTCCTGCTGAGTTACTGATTGTCAGCTGAAGACAAGAACCTGCTAGAAGGAAGGAATGTTTTACCATCTGACAGAAGATACGGTTCTTCTTGAATAGAGAATCTGTGATTAATTTCATTTTTGGATCAGACCTCATGAAGGCCTAACCCTAGCTGTCCAACTGTTTACAGTGGCATCCTTCAGTCTCAAAAAGACTATGGTATCATGCTCTGGAAAGAGGTCCTAAAACAGCATCTAATGTGACTAAAAAGGCCAATTTGAGAGTGGCAATCCCTTCCACACTGAGGAAGGTAGTGTAGTGACAGTACACTAGGTAGTGTAGTAGTGTAGAAGATAGAAGTAGTGTAGAAGTAGTGTAGTGTAGAAGGTAGTGTAGTGACAACAGTAGTGACAGTTCAAAGTTACAATGTCACTGAAAAAAGTGATTTATGACCATTTTCACACTTCACACAGGTTGCAACCTCCCAATGGGCATGTGATTCGGATGCTTGGCAACTGACTCGTATTTATGACGGTTGCAGGGCC